AGTCCTCCGTTTATCATTCAGGCCTATATCATTGATTCTGACCATTGATCCATAACATTGTTCTTACAGATTTTGTATTCTCTTCACAGTTCATTAATTTAAGATTATATACATGGCCGGCGGAAGCGGGGGTGGGGGGAAAAATATATAATGTCTGGAGATTTTTGTATGATCGGAAATGCAAAAAAAGGAGGGAAGAAGGAGAAGAAGGATGGGAAAGAGAATGTCTATCCAGTACCCGACCAAGTTACATTTTCTTGCAATTTATATTGGCGCAATTCATATTGGCGGATCTGGGGGAGGGGTCATTGGTCCTTACCCCTCCCTTGGGCAACAAAAAAAGGGGGAAAAGAAAAGAATTCTAGACCTACCTTTTCAGGACCCGTGAGCTGATTTCTTTTCTTTTTTTTTTTTTTTGCTATTAGAAAATTCGAATTTTGAAGAACATTAAATTCATAAAAACACGCTTCAAATGTCGGGAAAGCTCAATTTCGCCATCTAGGAATCAAAATTTTCCCTGGGGAGAACCCCCGGACCACCCTTTCTTTTGGGATTTATCGATTCATGGAAAAAATAATACGCATGCAACTACTCATTTGTTTATGTATGTATACACACATAAAATAAAAAATGAGAAAAATTTACCTGAACTATTTCATGAGAGAAAACCTTGAATTTTGAAGAGCTTTAAAAGTCATTAAAAGACATTTTAGAAGCCAGGAAAGCTCATCTCCCGCCATCTAGAAATCGAAATTTTTCCGGGGGAACCCGGACCCTCTTTATCTTTGGAGTTCATTGATTAATTGAATCATTTTCAAGGTGGGGGGGGGGGACCTTGAATTTTAAAGAATTTAAAAGTCATTAAAAGACACCACAGAAGTCGGGAAAGCTCATTTCCCGCCACCTAGGAATCAAAATTTTCCCGGGGAAGACCCACAGGACCTCCCCCCCCCCACTTTCTTTTTGGGATTTATCGATTCATGGAAAAACTACGTATGCAACTTATTCAATCTTTTTTATGTATACACATAAGGCCTAATTACTGTAATAACAATGGGAAAAATTATCTGACCGTTTTCAAGAGTGGAAAACCTTGAATTTTGAAGAACTTAATTACTTTTAAGTTTTAGGTTCTTCAAAATTCAAGGTACGTGTTCCCCTCTTGAAAATTATTATAATGAATCAATGAACCCAGAGAAAGGGAGGTTCGATTTCTTCCCGGGAAAACGTTAATTTTTAAATGGTGGACAATCAGATTTCCCGACTTCTGAAGTATTTTTTAATGACTTTAATTTAAAAATTCTTTTTGGGATTCATCTCATGGAAAAAATCGTATGCAACTACTCAATTTTTTTTAAATGTATGTATAACAGGCCTATTTACCATAATGAGAAAGTTTACCTTACCGTTTTCATGAGGGGGAAAACCTTGAATTTTGAAGAACAAAGTCATTAGACACCTAGCTCAAAAGTCGAGAAAACTCCGCTTGGCTTGTTGGCCAATTTGTTTGAATGTTTACTATGGAAATTAATTTAGGGACCGATCGTGTGCAACGGTCCATTTGCCTTTTGTCGTAATAAATCACGACCGAATCACACTATATCTGATCATGTGTTACGTTATTGTGTACAGCGTGTTGAGGGTGACTGTCAAGAGTGGGTGGGGCCTTATAGTTAATTCTTAGCCCAGTAGACACAAATAAATTTTCCGACACCAGCGGAAAAGGTCATTTCCCGCCATCTAGAAATCAAAATTTTCCCTGGGGAGGAATGTTCACCCCACCACCTAGATTTGATTCCAGATCTGCATGATTCATATTCCCATTCATCTTATAAGCAGTGGCGTAACAGGCGGAGGGCCAGGGGGCAGACTGTCCCCCTGGCGGTTTTTACCGGGCTGACCAAGCAGTCGTACCGGGCTGGGTAAGAAGAGAAAAGAAAGAGGGGAGAGGGAGGGAAAGAGAAAGAAGGGGATTGAAAAAGAAAGGAAAAAGGAAAAGAAAAAGAGAAGAGAAAAATAAAGACAAGAATAAAAAGGAAGATATAATGAACAGATATCACAATACCCCGGCCTGCAACCCCTTCTCCACTTCAAAAAGTGTCCTAAGCCGCCAGCTATTCTCCGCAGTGGCGTAACCACCGGGGGACAAGGGGAAAATATCCATCTGTGGAAAATCTTTCCCCATTGAATGCCCTTTTCACCCGGGAAAGTGCCAGAAAATCTCAAATTTTAAATCGCAAATTTTGTTGAGGTAGGCCAATTTCCTCTAAAAAATTGCACATTTTAGGGAGTTTTGATCAATTCCAACGAAATTAAAATTAAAAAAAAACAAAAATTATTCGCGCGCTTCGCGCGCATTTTTTAATGTTAAAGCTTCTGCTTGCTCTCTTTTGCCTTCTAAGTTACAACACATAGTCCCAAACTCAAGAAAGAAAATTTAAGATAGATCGTTTTACCTAAAAGAAGGGCCTCAATGTGTAATGATGTTGAAAGAATATGTTTGTGTTAAATAAAGCCATAAGGAAAATGCTTATATTCAGTTTAAAAAAAACGAGTGTGGCCATATATAACATAAGAGAATTTCTTGTTGAGGTAGGCCAATTTCCTCTAAAAATTGCACATTTTAGGGAGTTTTGATCAATTCCGTCGAAATTAGAATTAAAAAAACAAAACTTTTTTCGCCCGCTACGCGCGCATTTTTTAATGTTAAAGATTCTGCTTGCTCTCCTTTGCCTTCTAAGTTATAACACATAGTCTCAAACTCAAGAAAGAAAATTTAAGATAGATTGTTTTACCTAAAAGAAGGGCCTCAATGTGTAAAGATGTTGAAAGAATATGTTTGTAATAAATAAAGCCATAAGGAAAATGCTTATATTCAGTTTAAAAAAACGAGTGTGGCCATATATAACATAAGAGCATTTCTTGTTGAAGTAGGCCAATTTCCTCTAAAAATTGCACATTAGGGAGTTTTGATCAATTCCGACGAAATTAGAATTAAAAACACAAAATATTTTCGCGCATTTGTTAGGGTTAAAGCTTCTGCTTGCTCTCTTTTGCCTTCTAAGTTATAACACATTGTCCCAAACTCAAGAAAGAAAATTTAAGATAGATCGTTTAACC